TTTAATCATAAATCAACATAAAACAAATAATATATACATCAAGAAAAAACAACTGAATCATTTTACCAATTTTGATATATTATCATGCATTTAAAGTTGTAAAATCAATCAATCAGTTAAATAAGACAGCAGTAATAGATAACCAGTTCTGACTCCATTAGTAATATGTAATTAATTCTCAAAATTTTTTAAATTATGCAAAATATCATATTATTGATAATTAAACTTCAATTTCATAACAGGAAATAAAGTGAGAGATTCTTACCCGAATCGGTGTCCGAAATACTAAACTTTCAGCTACACCTACTAGCGGTCCCCGGGTTTCCTAAATATTTATGCGAAGATTAAAACACACTTTACGTACCTATAAATATTTCAAAAAATCTAAAATTGGTGTTAAAAATCTTTTCTAGCTAATTTCAGTATTTCGGCATAGCGGCATTGCCGTGCTTCAGTGGCAGTTTACCTCGGACTGACCGTTTTTGGTCAGTTTTGGCCGGTTTCAGTCGATTTTATCATCTATACAAGAAAACACATTAGAGGGCCTCAGTTGGCCGAAAAAAGTCAAAAAATAAAAACTTACAGGAGGCGAAATTTTCTGGCGCAGCTGCTCCGCTAGATCACCTTCGCGGTTGAGCGTTTCTCTTCGAGCAACTTGTAGAAAATAGAATGGTGATCACAATTGTGAAAAAATCGCACAAAACAGGAATCGGGAAGGGACTCGTCGAAGGCGATTTTTTATTTTTTTCGCGGCGGTAGTGCCGGGCTTTACTCGCAGTTTTTGGCTCATTCGCTGTTTCTTTTACTCTGATTTGGCCATGGAGGTGTTCAAAGTCAAAGTCCAAGTGAATATGAGAAATTTTACCTTTTTTAGCGGTCAGAGGTGGCTCTAGCGTGGCAGCAGGCGACGGTCGGCTCCTTTTTTCGGCGATCTTTTCTGGCAGGGGGCTGGCAGTTAGGGTTAGGGTTCGGTATGAAGTGAGATATTTATACTCGTTTTCCTTAAATTTGGACTATTCATCACGTTTTATCTCGACCGTCCGATCACGTTTAAAGAGAAAATGAATCTGAACTGTTCATTATGATTTGATCTGGACCATACGATCACGTTTAAAGAGAGAACAAATCTGAACCGTTCATCATATTTAATCGTTATCGTCTGTTCATGCTTGAGGAGGGAACGGATCCGGACCGTCCACACGCGTGGGATTGCATTTGGACCGTCCGATCACAGGCACACGGATTGCCAGCGTGGCCTCCTGTGTGGCAACGAGTCAGCGTGCCCTGCCACGTGGTGTGCTCCGGTTCATCGGGGCT